CTGATTTCCTACCTACCTTCTAGGAAGGGTAGTAATTTCCTTCCACACGCCGAGCTTTATAAAAGCCAAGAGTTTGGCTAGCTCTATAGTCTGTGAAATGTGACTCATTCAGGGCACTTCATCTTTGCTGTTTGCTTGTTTGGAATGTGTGTTCTGAGGTCCCCACATGTGACCTCCTAGGGCAGAGTCTGCTGTAGCAGACCCACAGAGGCTGGCTTCTGTGGTTAATGAGGCCTTCCTGTCTCCTGCTCTTTCCCACCGTGCCACTCAGGAAGTCTATTCCTGGCAGCTTGCAAACCCAAGGCCATCTGCCGAGTGTGACCTGGCAGAATCACATTTCTGTTGTCACCTCAGTATCTTGAAGTGAAAATGAACATCTGGGCAGCGTTCAGAAAAAGATGCTGTAAGGAGTGACACATAGTTGAAGGGGGGGGGGCATGTGGAGATAGGAAGAGCCCCATCTCTTCTTTCTTGGAAAACCCATGACAATTTATGTTCTAATGTCTGTCCCTGAGTTTTTGCTCATTCTCTAACTTCCAGGTAGAATTCTCTTCTTCCACATCTACAGTCCCTCTTATTTATTGTAGAGTTAGTGAAGAGTTCTATAAAAATGCAGGGACTCAGGTATTCACTGGCATGAACTTCGAGTACCCTAAGAAAGCTTGTACCAGTGGAAGCTGATTGCGTGGCCCTCAGTCTGATATTGCTGGAGATGAACCTATCATCCTGATTTGCCCATAGAAGGTTATCAACAAATGTTTGATGAGTAGAGGCAGAATCATTATAGTTTCAATCCCACATTTTTTTGCATTTATGCTGTCTCTTTCTGAACTTCTGGAATGAGCTATTTAGTATCTTTATTATTAGTGATTTTGGATGTATCTCAGGGCACTCTAATTGAGCAATGTAGTATCTAATTAGATAATAGATAACATATAAAGAACCTAAGGGAATTTGAGAAAGGGGTGCAGGATGTGGGTGTCTTAAAGGCCAACACTTGCTTTTTCATAAGTTACATCTCTGGACGAACACCATTTTACATCAAATACCTGTGTCAAGAGGTATTTAAGCTGAGAGAAGTTTCATATTTTTGCTATATGGAGAAATTGGAACAGGAAGGGTTAGAGCTAATTCTTTACATAGCAGAGTGGCTGGCATATACTGGTATGATTTCAGAATATAAATAGTTCAGGGCTTGCAGGGCTTATGTGGTCTCTGTCATAAGTAGCCATAGGCAATACATTAACAAACGGGTGGGACTGTTTTCCAATAAAACTTTGTGTATGGACACTTAAATTTGAATTTTATAAAACTTTTATATAGCACAAAATATCATTCTTTTGATTTTTTTTTTTCCTGCAACCATTTACTCACAGGTCCTACAAAAACAGGTAGTAGGCCATATTTGAAACGGAGGCCGTGGTTTGCAAACCTCTGTTCTAGGGTTAAAAACACAGAATAATTAATTGTCCTAAGCCTTTTTGACCATTCAAAGTCATCAGGTTGTTCTGGTAAATATCTGGGGCCTCAGATCAGAAGGAAAGAGGAACTGTACTTCAATAGTTCAAGTCTACAACCTTCTTATCTAGTAGCACATTAGAAAGAAAGCAAAGCTCAGCCTAAATTTAGCCACATATTTGGTGTGCCCTGACCCTGTGTGCTTGGGGACAATAGCATGGTCTTTCTCTAAGCACTCCAAAACAGGTTGCATGAAAGATTTGCTCTTCCTGCAGCAGGATTCTTCAGTATTCAGATGATCTCCTATCTCTTCACTTACTCTCTCCATGTTTGTCAATCTCGGTCTCTCCATGTGTCTAGTTTTTTTCTCTGCCAGGGAGCCGTATAAAGGAAAAGAAAGGAATTAACTTGTTGAGGATAATTCCAGTTCTATAAAAACTCCCAAACTGTTTTCAGTTAGTAAGGCAGCCTCTTACATATATCTCCAAGACCCTACACACACACACACACACACACACACACACACACACACACACACACGAACAAAACAATTTTGGCTTAAAGTTGTCTCACTAAGAAGTAAGTATCTTTCTGTTTCTACTTATCATTTGACATAAATACTGATTTTCTTGGACTGATTTGAGATTATAATGTCTTCAATCTAATCTAATTCCATGAATGTAGATCCATGAGGTTTTCTTTTCCACAAATATCCCAAATACAACTGTTTCGTTCAGGTCATAAAATGTTTATTTTCTTTTGGTCAGTAGTTTTTTGGTTTTTTTTTTTAACCAAAATTCCCATGCATTTTTTTGTAAACCCAACTTTAATATTTTATGCAGCCCTTATGTAGTAATCTTGAGAAATGGATATTTCATTTGTGCATAATAGAGTAGGAAATGGAGCAGGAGGAAATAAGAAATAAAAAAGGGGATTAAAAAAGTTTATATCAGGTCAGGAAAAGGAACATTCTGCAAATTGTTAATACTAAATACCCATTCAATCTGTATAGAGTTTTGTCCTTATTGGTTAGACTTGATATTTTGTAAAAAGAAAATTGGTGATTTGTGAGCCATTTGCTTTTGATAAAGCCATACTTACTCCTTCCTAGTGTCTTAATCTCCAGAACTATGCTCCTCAATGGGATTTGAGAATCAGAATCACTTGGGGAACAAATTTCAAAATTCACATTGTTCTATCCCTCTCCGTTTTTGTAACTCAGTCCCTTCAAATCAGAACCTATTAGGAGTACACCTGTAGTTGAACAAGCTGAGTAATCACTCTCTGCAGCAACTGAAACTATACCATGGAAAACCATGGAGTTTCTCAATAAAGGACTTCAAAAACATCTATTGTAATATTAGGATTTTCGTTGGGTGATTTGTGGGAGGTTTCAAAACAACAGGGTTTCAAGCTACATTGCATGTTATCAGAAAGCTGATGTAATTCTATAATAAGGTATCTCAATAAATATGACCAAGGAGGAGGGAAACTAGTATGAAGATTAATCTGTAAATGGTAAAGAAGTACCAGACACATTTTGCCCAAGAGAGGAAGTGCTTGGTACTTTTTGGATGGCATAATGACCCTGTTTTTGTCTGTGCTTAGACACAGTTTTGAAGTGGCCTAGTTTTGTTGCATTTTATCATGGTCTCAGAGTAATCTTACCTGAGGTTGGTATTCTGTGAGATTGTGTAGTTGTAATAGACTATTATGACCTAGCAGTGAGTCCAGGCTGGCTTCTGAATGTCAAGGGCAGCTTGTTTTTCTTTTCTAATATCTAACCCCTGCTCTCCTCTCTAGCCAACTGTAGTGCTACTACATTTTAATGGTATATGTCTAAGTTTTTATTACAATTTTTTTAAATGTCCAGAAAAATGAAAAATAATGGTATAATATTCACCATATAGCTATTGAACAATTTAAAAAAATAAAAGAGTATAGATAAAAGTATTTGAGTTTTTCTCTCAGATCCTAATTCCTCCAAGGAGGGAGCTGTTACCTTGAATTTGATGCTTATCATTCTTAAGTACAATGTATTTTAATTTCCTTTGAAAAACTATACATGTTACTTTATGGTTTCCTTCCCTACCAGGAATTATATAAAATCTAACATTAATACACACTGGTCATTTTGTTTTTATTCTGGAGTTGTTTTAAGTAGGCACTAAAGCATCAAACTACGTGAGGAACCATGAGACACCCTATACATCAAACAGGATCACAGGACATAATTTTATATAAGTACTGTTAATATTATAAATGAGTTTTAATCACCACGTCAAATACATTTGGTTTTCAATGACCTACAGTGACTTTGACCACAGGGGCAATTTGTTGGTTTTATTTAGCAAGATGTTAGGTGGATTTTTTTCTTCCCTCCACAGGCTCTGCTAAACATTTTTGACACTAATGGAGTTGTATCTATTGGAAATTCACATTTTATGCAATAACAGACCTTATTAATTTCATGAAGCAAAGATTTGACTCCTACTTGCAAATAGCTCTGAAGAAAGCAATATCGTCAAGACAAGTGCCCTAGTACGCATATATCCAGATAAATCTATTGAATTAAATACCAGACTTTCATTACTTATACTTTATATTTCCATATAACATAAGCATTAATTAAGCCCATCACTGCCTTTCTCTGTGCAGGCAAACATTTTCTCTCTGACACGAAATGTCAACTGAGGGAATGTGTGGACGTGAAACCTGCCATTAAAAACACGCTCTCTTTCAACAAGAGGAAAGCTAATGCATTCTGTCAGATGCACATGCAGAAAGAGCACACAAGGGATGATTCTTATCTTTGCTTGCTCTTGTTGTCTAAGACTGTGGCGATGGGATGGAATGCCTTTTGCCTTACTTGAGATTTTCAAAGACAGGCACACTTATCACTGTATTGCATCTCTTGTCACCTGGTATTATGCGGTACATTTCAAATAAAAGCAGGACATTGCCATGGTCTTCTGAAGTATTTAATGTACCTCCATTTGCATGATAGAGACAGTGGCTAAATATCAGATGTCTTAGTCTTGTTGTGCTACTATAACGTAAATACCATAAACTGGCTTATAAACAACACTCATTTATTCTCACAGTTCTGAAGTCTGGGAAGCCCAAGATCATGGCCCTGATAGATTCAGTGTCTAGTTCACAAATGCCATTTTCACTATTTCCTCACAAGGTAGAAGGGACAAGTTAGCTCTCTGGGGTCTCCTTTCTAAGACACTAATCCGGTTCATAGCCTACCCATCTCACAAAGGCTCCAGTTCCTAATACTATCACCTTGGGGATTAGGATTTCCATGTGTGTATTATGGGCAGGGAGACACAAGCATTCAGACCATAGCGTTAGGTTCAGCATGGAGTCCAGGATGTTTGAAATATTAAGTACACTGAGGTGCAGATAAAGTTTGTGGGAATGGCTGGAGGAGTTGATGGAATAGATGCCTTGTGATTTGAGGGAGATGATAGGGAAGCAAATTTCCTGAAGTCCTTATCGTTTCATGCTGACATTTCCCTTCTCATTCATTGCAGGGGAACACTTAAGAATCTGTCCTCAAGAATATACGTGCTGCACCACGGAAATGGAAGACAAGTTAAGCCAGCAAAGCAAACTTGAGTTTGAAAACCTTGTGGAAGAGACGAGTCATTTCGTGCGTACTACGTTTGTGTCCAGGCACAAGAAATTTGACGGTAAGCGCGAAAGAGTTTCCACGTCACTTTGTTCTAGGTGTGCTTTTCTATGAGAGTCTTGGTCTTATATGAAAAACATTTTTCATTTCAAGTGGGAGCTTTCCTGTTTCCCTTAAACATTTGTAAGTATTTTTTTTTTAATATGAGCTTTCTTGACAATTTTGATAGTAATAACTTGGAAAATCCTGAGTTCACAAAGAGCTGTTTTGCATTTGTGGTTTGCCTGTGAGATTTATTCTGAAAGATGCAGCTCATTTCTTCATTATTAAAGTGATGCTAATTGAGGTTTTGTCATACCGTAGCTTGTCTTGAGTTTTCTTTAAAATAATTAAATGTCATTTGAAATAATTGAAATAGAACAACACTCTTAAAAATACAGACATGTTTTAAGCGCCAATGACATGGCCTCCTTTATTTTAGAGTTTGCCCTTCTGATAATGTTTTACATTGCAGTTGCAGTGCTTCCTGCATAAGGTTTAAACCCTCTATTGATTTCCTGATTATACGCAATTGACTTCAATTCTATATTCTCTTTGTTAAATAAACCTTTTGTATTAGAAAGTGCAAACAGTGACAGTAATTATGACTAGGACGTCAGCATTGCATTTTCCCCTCAGAGCCTCAGAAAAAATATTTAAAAGCAATCTGATTTTTATAAACTGGTTTAATAAGGATAAAGTTAATATTCTTAAGTGGTGTGTAGTTTTTAGCACACTAAGACGTGAATGTGCCTTACTATGACTCATTGTAAACCAGACTTGCAAATTGTGGTGAGCCTTCCTTGTGCCCCTTTGGTCATATTAAGTTGCCCTGAGGCAACAGAACTGCCATTCATTTTCTTCGCCCTCCCCAGTCAATGTACAACAGAGCCAGTATAGAAATGGCTTGCCAAAGGTTTTCTTTTTTTTCCTCTGTAGCAGGTAAAACGTTCTGCTCCATCGCTGCTTTAAAATAGTATAACAACACCAATTTCTTTCACATCAGTCTTCCAAGTTCTAAAAGGCAGGTCCACCTGGTGGTGGTTTCAGTACCCGAGATGATGGGACATTGTCCATGTAGGTGAATGGGACTTGTATTTTCTGCAAGTATGTTTCCACAGGTTCACTTTCTTCCTCTACCTCTCACCTTGTTCAACTTTATATGTGAATGGATATGAAAATAATTCCTTATTTAGAAGTGATACTGTGAATGTTTTTCCCTTGAATGCAACTAGGGAGCACTTGGGAGCACTCTTGATTGACAGATTACAAATCCAGTGACATTCAGGAGCTCTCGACGGGGCCCTGTGTTTGAGGAACTGTAACGTTTCACTTCAAATTGAGGCCAATTGAGACACCGTCTCGTTTGTTATCAAAAGCAGGTAGAGGAATCCGCCGATGCTGACTTCTAGCTAGGTCTTTGGAAAACAACTCTAGTGCTTTTATAAAATGGTGCGCCAAAATTAGGCTGAAATAATTCCAGGGCTGTAGTCATAGATCATAATATATATTCCTTTTAATAAAAATATTAGATATAAAGTAGCTTTATGGGGGCTGATTATTTTTGTTTGGTTTTAATGAGTAAAAATATTCAACAAGACTGAGACAGATACTTCTTGTATTCTCATATCAATTGCTATTAATATCTTTGAATTTATAATTCCAGGTCTCATTTATCTTACTAAAGAAATCTATCTCTGTCTCTGTCTCTGTTTCTCTTTCTCTCCCTCCCTCCCTCCCTCCCTAGTCTAAATGTGATTCTGATAAACTCAGCTTCTGAAGAGCTCAGTCTTCAAAAAAATAATTATAAAAATATGTAAATTAAAAAGTCACCATTGTA